GACTTTGGCGTTCGCCTCGTGGGCAAGTACGACCCGTGCTGCAACCCCCATGATCCGTCGACGCTCGTGTCGATCTACGTTGTCCGCAGTCACGGTATCAAGCACCAAGCGGGCGTTGGCAAAATCTTTGGCCAGCTTGATGGGCAGCAAACTGGGCACTTGAAAGCGTACTTGGGCTGCGAATTGATCGCGGGCGGTGGTCACATGCACATACCCGACGTGGTTGTGCTCTGTAATGGCGCCGTGCGCATGATCGTCGAGTTTGAGCACAAGCACCGGAGCTTCCCGGTGATGGTCGATTGCTGTTGTGGCTACTTTGCCACGTACCCCTCTCTGCGCACGACGGTCGCGATCAAGCTCTTTGGCGCGCAAGGCGGCGATCCGTTCCGGTTTGGCGCGATCGCGCTGCAGTACAAGCGCGACGCTGACGGTCAGCCGCGCCTCGTGTACGCTGCGAGCATCGGCACGGCGCCGTTGACGGATCAAGCAAAAGATCGCATCCGTCGCAAGATTGGCGACGAGGCTTTCGCAGCGATACACCGATTTGAAGACGGCGTCGCGAACGAAGCGGCGCTGCAACACGTGACCTGGGCGCACCCGACCATGGATTGTCCTCAACTCTCGATCGAGGTGTCGGACCTCGAGTACTCGGACGTTCATGGCCTCCTCGCGGGCGCACCGCCGACCAACGAGCGGCTGGTCATTGATCTCTATAAGGTCATTTTGGCTTGCTATGAAGTCAGCGACAGTGATCGAGCTCGTGACGAGCAGCTCACACGGGAGACGACGCGTGCGACGGAGGTCCGCGCCAGTGCCGCGGCCAGCGTCGACACCGACAATGACGTCATGAACGACCGCCGCTTGGCCATGGAGGGCACTGACATGGATGAGCCTCTGACGCCTCCCGGGTCGCAGCTTTCGATCCACGATCTCTTGTGCGTCCCGCGGTCGTTTGTGGGTGAGTACGTGCGCGTCGCCAACGAGCAGCAGGTGCTCGATGACGTGGCCAACGCCGGGGCCGCGCTCGACGAGCTCTATCGCTTCCAGACGGAGCAGAACGCTGCTTTTGAGTTGGTTTATCAGCGCGACCCGCACGCAGTAAACGACATTGATGCGACGCTGCGCCACCTCGATACGCAGATCAACGATCAACTTGCGGCGCTTTCTCTGCTGCGCGACAAGATTCAGGTGTACGCGGCCGTGAACCACAACGTTGCGCAAGAATTCGAGATCGACGGCGTGCCCAGCCGTGCACAGATCAAGATGCATCTGTGAGTCCACCGACCATTTTTCCATCCAGTGGTTTCTCATCCATGTGCTAGGGCGACACTCGAGACGATCCTCGTCGAGCGACTCGATTTGCTTTTGGACGGACAAAACCCGCGCGTGCAGTGCGCTGGCACAAGCTGCTGGCCTGCGTTTGCGACGGCGCTCGACGAAGGACATTGGTTCTTGCGTCAGGAGCACTGGTTGCAGCCAACACGGCAGTAGGCATGGGCAATGAAGATACCATGTCGTTGCCCGCTCAATTCATAAATTGATATTTTACTCGATACTTTGTCAATGTCCCTTCAGCTCGACAAGATCGCACGTTCCCAAACCCATCCGCACTAAATCGTATACACTCGTACACCGGTATAGGTAGCCCTAACCCTACAAGCAGCCCTAACCCTGCAAGCAGCCCTAACCCACGAAGTGTCCAACCAAACCATTGCCGACACATCGAAATCGTTGGCAGATCCAACAGGATGCAGGCCTCTATCGCTTCGAAAGTGTACTAGTACATATATATACAGCAAGATGAAGCCAATAACCGCGAAAAAGTTGGTCCACCGGTCGTCAAACTTCATCTCGTACACCGTCTCGACATACTGGCGGACGGTGACACGCGTGGTGCCAAACTCGACAAAGAGACTCGGGGGCACGCCTTCTTCCGGCATGATCTGGCGACCGAACTGGGTACCGTCCGTGCACTTGGCAAACGTCTCGGCGACGAGAAGCGCGACCGAGTACTTTGCTGGTATGACGTGGTGAAGCCACTTGTAGCCGGTCGGGATCTGCGATGACGGTGGGTTGTAGCCCATGAAGAGGAAGAAGAACGAGTTGAAGAGAGTGCCAATGATAGCGGCAACCTCGACACGGGGCATAGCATACGCCATCAACTGGCCAAAGTAGACGTTCATGAGCACCAAGGACGAGACATTGAGGCCATAAAAGAGGCATGCGCCGATCGACTCGTTGAAACCGACAAACGGGTAAAAGATGACGCAAAAGACAAAAGTCGTCACAAACACGTACGGAATCTCCACGACCGTGCCGCCGACAAGGTACCAGAGCGCGCTGTACGTCTGCGAGGCGCGTTCGCTATAGAACGACGCGCGCTTTTCTGTAGCGAGCGGAAGGACACTGTTGAACGAGATGATGCCCATAAAGAGCGACGTGAGGAAGACCATGCCGACGCCGCCCGTCGCACCAACGTACGTTGTGTAGTCGACGCCGCGGTAGACCAAGCCAAGAGAAGAGCCAAAATGATCGAGAGCATCGCGCGCGTGTAGTTGTACGACGGCGTGCGCCAGTACATGCGGAAGAAGCGCTGCGTCACCATCTTGAACTGGGTAAAAGATGACGCCGCGCGCTTACTGGCAAACGTGAGCTCGGGCAGCGACGGGTGCGGCACAGCGTGGCGCTCGAGCGCCGCCACGAGAAGACCACGCTCATGCGAGTCGTTGAAGATCTGGACATAGTCGTTGGGCGGCAAGTTGGTGCTCTTGGCTTCGACACCCGCGCCAATGACCTCGAGCATCCACGTCGCCAGGTTGGCACCCTCGACGAGCGGCGGCGTGTTGGGAATTGCCGTGAAGTAGTTGATCATGTTGATGGCGTGTGTGCCGAGGTCGCCAAAGAAGACGGTCTCGCCACCGCGCTTGAGGAGGAGGAGCGAGTCAAACATCTCAAAGACTTCGGTCGACGGCTGATGGATCTTGCAGACCACCGTGCGGCTCGTCGAAGCAATCTTGCGGATACCCGTCATGATGATCTTGGCCGAGCGAGCGTCAAGACCGGACGTCGGCTCGTCGAGGAAAAGCACCGACGGCGCCGCTGCGAGCTCGACACCGATCGTCAGACGCTTCATCTGCTCGACCGACGCGCCACGAATGACCATGTCGCCGAAGTTCTTCATGTCAAGGAGCTCGAGACACTCTTCCGCAAACGCCATCGTCTCCGCCGCAGGAATGTCGTCCGACTGACGGAGCATCGCGCTGAACTGGAGCGCCTCGCGGAACGTCGCTGCTTCCGAGTGAATGTCCATCTGCTCGCAGTAGCCCGTCGCACGACGCACCGCGAGGTCCGTGGCCGGGTACCCGTTGAGGAGGATCTGACCTTCGATCTTGCCGCCCGTCTTGCGACCGGCAATGACGTCCATCAAGGTGGTCTTGCCCGCGCCCGACGAGCCCATGAGCGCCGTGATCGTGCCAGGAAGAGCGTAGCCGTTGATGCGCTTGAGCAGCTGCAAGTCGGGCTCGCCCTTGGTCGGACTGGGCACCGAGTACCAGAGGTCTTGGAAGGCCAAAACGACGGAGGGCGACAGCAAGCTTGAGCCGGCGACGCGTACCGCAACGTCTTCAGTCGCATTGGCGACATCCGTTGGTGTCTTGGGCGCCTTGACGTACCCATCACCGGCATCTTCTTCATCGTCGGCTTTGTCCCTTGCCACCGAGACGTTCTCGGGTGCGTCGTAGCGCTTGTACTCGAGCGCGATGTACGCAAGGCCAAGGAGGACGTAGATTATTGCCGCGAGGTAGATGGCGCCGTACCAGATCCAAGCAGTGTCCGTCTGGAGACCAAACGTCTTGAGCATGACGTTGCCCATGGTGTCGCCCTTGAGCTTCATGTAGTCGACGCCCTTGTAGACCGGCACTTGGAACTCACCAGACGAGTACTGGTTAATTGAGAGGGCACGCAAACACCAGCTGAGCGGGTTGGTCCAGTAGAGTCAGATAAAGTAGTCTGGCATGATGGACGGCGCAAGGACAAAACCCGCAAACACGATGTAAAATAAGATGGAGAGCATCGCCACGGGCTTGGCAATGTGGAGATCGGGCGAGACGACCGCGAGGAAGAAGAACCACGACGTAAGCGCCAAGTTGGTCAGAAAGAGGAGCAGCAAGTAGACGAAGAACGCGCCGACTTCCGAGACAAAGCCCGTCATCCAATACATGATCGAGCCAAATACCAGCGTCTCACCGAGCGCAAACGGCACCTGAGTGAACGACTGCGCCAAAATGAACGACGACGTCCGGAAAAAGTTGGCCGATCGCTGCTTGCAGAAAATGTTGCGCGCTTCCAGAGCCGCCAGCATGAGCGGCACTTGACCCATCGCAAGAAAGAGTACTGCCGAGAAGTCGACACCAAGCACAACGAATGGATTGGCCGAGTCGACTTGGTAAAACGTCGTCGAGTACAGAAGGCCCATGAACAGCACCATGATGAAGCGGCTCTTGACGAACGCCGTGTTGCGGAGAATGACCTTCAGCTGACGCGCAATGAGCTGCTGCGTGCTCTGCACGTACGGTACTTGGTACGCCGGCATCTCGGCCATGTGCTTGGCCGCGTCCGCGAGAAGAAGCGGATGGTGCGGACCCTCGAGATAGCTCATCATCTCGTGGTAGATGGCCGACTGGCGAAACACGTCGGCGTAATCGCTGGGCGTGCGCGGTACCGACGTCGCACAGTCGACGACGTACTGGTCTTGCTGCGGCGTGCCGAGGTCGAGAAGAAAGTCGGCCCCATCGCGCTTCGGCGGGCACTTGAATCCGAGCGACTCAAAGTACTCCAAGCAGAGCGCTCGAGAGCCGTGGTACATGACGTGGCCTTCGTTGAGAAGCATGACGTCATCAAAGAGGTTGTACAACTCGGGTGACGGCTGCAGCAACGCAATCACAATCGTCTTCTTGAGCGACTCGGCCATGCACTTTTGCGACTTGACAATGTCGTACGCAGCCGCCGAGTCGAGACCCGTGCTGATCTCGTCCATGAACGAGACCTGCTTCATGCCAAACTCCATCTCGCCGACCGTCACGCGCTTGCGCTCACCGCCCGAGACACCGCGGAGCATGGCGTTGCCGACGATCGTGTCTTCGCAGATCTTGAGACCCATCTGCCGCGTGATAATGTCCGGGTAGACGTTGTAGAGCGACTGGATC